AATATTCATATACTTTTTTTTAATATTATTATGTTTGCAGCTACCAGAATATTTCATTTTCTCTAAGTAAATATATTTAGGTCCGAAGGTGACTGATCTGCAATTTTGATTCGACAGTCAAAACTAATATCAAGAAATTTTTAGCTTTTTTGTAACGAAATTGATACCAGTTATTTATTTTTTCCAGGTGAGTACGAACCCTTTCAAATAGTATAACTTTCACAAATCCTAAAATAGATGGAATTGAAATATAATGAAATAAGATTTTACTAATTTTCATAACTCAGTAACTATATTTGTAATAATACATGTGTTACAGAAATACACACATTTTGAAGAAGATGATATGTAATTGTTACTGTGAATGGCCGAAATTTGTGGTTTTTGACTTCCACCGGTGAATTTTGAGAATCACGCAGTCACTTTGATTAATGTCTGAAATATATACTAGGTCTAATTATATACCACTGCCCGGTATACCCTACACTGATGTTCATTTGGGGGTTCAGTGCCACTACCCAGTGCACCGAACATTGATGTTTCTCGTAATCTATCCTCAGGACATATTAAAATATCGAAAAAATAGAATAATTTCAACGCAAAAATTAACATTAAATTGGATATAATAAATATTTCAGACATTCACAAAAACGACTATGATTGTTGACAGGTGAAAGTCGACAGTCTCTTGATTTCGGTNTTCAATCGCCACAAAAGTTCCTTTTTTAAGTTTATAGAATTTTCATAACTTCCAAATATCATGAATTTCGGGATTCTTAAATCAGTTTGAAAGTGTGTCTTTATTTCCAAAAACTTTTTTCGTCAGTCCTTTTTTTGAAGTCCTAGTCACTAGTTCTAGTCATAAAAGTAATTTCAAGTATAGTTCGCTTATATATTATTTTAATTTTTGTTTGACGCAGTTTAATCAAACGAACTTCTGCCTCTTTGCAGTCTTAAAAACCCAATATTTACATTAAGTTAAGCAAAATTTAAGTTTTGGCTCGTGGCGAAACCTGCCAAATACAAAATATAAAAAAACTAATTAATTAATAACCTTTACGTGCTTATGGTGATGGCTTTACTTTCTTATACTGAGTTTTATCGCGTCTTTGGGTCCTATCTCAGTGTTGCAAAAAATCAGCTTTCTTGAAATGTAAATCACTTTCATCATTTATTTTTTATTTTTTTAAAATTAAATATCAAAATCTAAAGTACATTTTTCTGTACTAAAGATGGTTTTTCACATTCCAAATGAATGAAAAAAATATTAATTTTTATATACATAATGTTTTCAGATACATTAAAAGTGATGCCATTATTTTTTTTTTAATTTTAATTTCTCATGGACATTTTTTAAGCCTGTGTGCATTCCTAGTAAACTTATTAGGTAATACAATAGAAAAAAAAGAAATAAAAAAGAGCAAGAGAGAGAGAGAGACTCCACACTTTTTAATCCTTGATAATAACTATAAAGGAGTCTAACAGACTTATGACATTTTTAAAAATTTGAGATGTTACCCAAACACAATTAAAATTTTTGAAGATTGTAAGCATTAGATTTTTTTAACATTCATCTATATTTTAATAAAAAAATTTAAGAGTATAAGAGAAGTTTAGAATATTAAGAGTACATTTTCTTTTTGTTAAACAAAGTAGCATTACTTAATTACGTTACTTTATTTAACATAAAGCTTAAGGTTTATAAATAAAAGAAACTTTGTTTGCAAATAAAGAAAATGTAAAAATATCCGTGCTCTTAATTCTAAGTCTATAAACGGAATGTCTAGTTACAATGTAACGCGGATTTAAGTTTTGTTATCCAAAGTAGCAGTGCTGATATATAAATTACACAAAAGGCTCGATTAGTAACAGACTGTCCAAGAAAAAGATAACTTGAAATGTAATTAATAACACCTTATCTGTTAACTACAATGCAGAACTATGGGGACACAGGAAACACAAAAAAATCGTCCCCCTTCTTTTATATTCACTCAAATCAACTGTTTATTAAACACATTTTCGTGAAAATACCAACCCACGTTAAACAGGATTCTGCGAACAAGATTTATTTAAACGCGTTTGACTAAATTTAGTAAACCAAAGCGTTACGGTGAAATTTTAAAAATAGTAACTCTTAAAAGAAATTTGAAATGAAAAGTTCGAAATGATGGTTGAATAACCTTTTGGAGGTTGACAACAGAAAAGGGTGACATTATAGTTAACCCGTTTCTCCCGAATTCGGACGATTCTTCCTTTCACTTATGGCTTATAATAGCAGCAAAGGTCACCAAGACCATCTCTCTTAAACTGACCTTCTTTTGTTCTTTTCCTAACCTTTTCGTTTTCAAATAGCCATGGCTGGGAGCACAAATTCGAGTGACCCATAGACTTTTGAAACTAGTGTTTTTAGTCTACGAAATGTTTGACTTTCTATTCTTCCGTAAAACGGAAAGGGTTACGGAAGTTATCGAGTTATGCTACACGGTAGTTATCGAGAAAAGCTTCCTATCAAAGCTAAAACAGAATTTTTGAGAACTGTTAAAAAATTTATTTTTGAAGGACATTAGATTTGGAGGAGGGGTTGAAGAATTAGAGTATTTAAATACAGCAGTGCATTAATTATATAATTTAAGTTGAGATGTTATGCCTGATAATTTTTAATGGTTACCAAACTGTTTGCCGAAGGTGGCTGGTATAGTCTAATCGTTTAAAGAACTTTTCTGTGGTTCCGCACGAAAAGGTTAAGTAAAACGTTCGAATATACTCTTTGTTTGATTAAATGGAACTGTAAGTTAGCAACAATCAAAATATATTTTTGTTAATATTCGAAAAAGAAAGAATAGTCCGCAGTTTAATTTACAACAATGGTTAATTCTAAACCAATGAAAATTTTTTAATTCTTTACACATCTCGCATGGATTTATTGAAATTTGTAAAGAATTTTAGGGCCGAGGGAGTCAAATGCTCCCTGTAGTCTATGTCCGAATTTAGGACATTAACACTGAGTTGATTCTGGAGTTATAAGAAATTCGACGTAATTTTCCGCCTGAGAGTGAAGAAAACAAAAAATACTAAGTAAAAACAAATGAAAAATCATAATGCCCAACTATCTAAGCTAAAAGACTTTTTGGGCTACTTGCAATCGCAACCAAAGCGAAAGAGTCAAAATTTTATGCATGTTATTTTAATTCCAAAAAATTAAATGCGTAAAAAAAATTCTATTTCAAAGTGTTGAAAAGCTTAATTTTTATAGCAGCTGCATTAACAGCTTTTTTGGAAATTAAATTATTTTAGTTGTCATGCGGGCTTTGTTAAAATTAAAAAAAAAATCTAATATTGGAAATTTAGGATGTATCGTAGCTTATTGATTTGTGAAGAAAAAGCAATTTCCGTATTATGGATTGACTAAAAAAAATACATCACCGTATTAGGTAATAAATAAAATTTCATAGATTTGAAAATTGAGTATTTGGCTGTAACTTATTATGTTTGAGGATTTCTTTGGATACCTTATTGAGTGCATAAATTTAAACATTTATTTCCATGGTGCTTTTAATATAAATTTTTAGAATCCGTATCAAAAACAATGTCGGGAAAGCCCAGTTAAAGATAGGGTCACTAATTTATATTTAAGCGAAGAAAAAATAATATTTAAAATAGAGGAAGGAGAAATTAAATACATCGAAGCTTTGTTTGGTGGAAAAAAGTTGGAATCGTATCGAAATATCGCTTTTCATAACATGTACGTATTATAGATTTTTATGGAGGATTTTTTTATTTCCTATAAATTTTCTCCGTCAATACAATAGGTTTTGATGCTATTAATCTCATTTCCCTCGTTGCTGTTTTGTTACACATTGATAATGATTAATATTGATTGATTGATATTGATAATATTAATTTTCCTTATTTCTTGCTAAAAAATTATTTGAAAACATGCTTATATTTTTGGCTTTAATTTAGATAAAGATGTGATTCGATGGTGTTGTCAGCTACTGATGAGTTACAACACTTTTTATTATATATATATATATATCTTTTCGTATTATTATATATTGCATATATTTTTAATAATTCCAGAATTTCAAATTTTTTGGAATTTTTTTTAATTAATCACTATATAGTTTACCACCCTATAATAAACTGCAATAGAATAAAACATTTTAGAATGTTTTCAAAAATCAAGATAGAGAAAGAGACTTTTTAAATTCGTCGAGTAACTAAGTTTGTTGATTTGGGAGAGTTCGCAAACTTCTCGTGCCACAATGCAAAGAGACAACAATTCTTTCTTAATTTTAATGATTTTAATGATGTAAAAAACTAAAATAACATTTCATGTTCACTTTAAGAATACAAAAATGAACTTCATTTGTGTCACACATGATAATGCTCTTGTTAACATTCTGCTTATAAGTCGCACTTGAGACTAGTAGCAGATTGTTACTAAAAATATTCATACACACTTCAAAGCTTCACTTTGAGGGGAATGACATTTTATTTTAATAATTTTTAATTTATGAGGGTTTCCAAAAGGTTACTAACATAATTTATTTGCATTTTATTGCTAATAAAGTTTTAGAACAATATAACTAAAACTAAAACACAAGACAAACTAAACACAAGACAAAAAAAGTACAAATATTTAAATTTAAAAAAAACTCAGAAATTTCGTAATAAATTCCGATTAACACAGAAAATTTCCCCTCTCCCGTTTCTAAAAGGTTCATTTCTCTACGTTTCTCGCCTTAGGTGTGATAAAAATGGATCAAAAGAGAATATTACTATTATTTTTATGCAAAATAAAAAGCATGAAAGCGAGATGTAAGAGTCTTGTCTGAGAGAAACGCATTGCAGGTGCACACTAACTTTTGTGTTAAGCTGTAATTTAATTAACTCTTGTTAGAAACTACTGTCTGCCAAAATGGATCAGATGATATTCCCTAACACTTATATGCAGTAGGCAAATTGAAAGATCCAGCGCTTTTCGAAGTTCGTCATCATTTTTCAATGCGTCAGGCTAATGGAAAAAGTCTAAATGGTTTTCTAATAAGCCTGATAATTATAAGGCTTATTAATTTTAACCCGTATGCATTTAGGCTTATAAAAAATATATGAAAATTAATTCAACTCAATAGGCTAAATTTGTTTAGGTTAATTGCAATAAGCTTTACATTATGCCGGCGCTTTGAGTAGAGAAAAAAATAATATATCTGACTAATTTATAAATGAATAAAGCAATTTGAATCAGCTAAAAATTGTTTTTTATCAGCCTATTGCAAATAACCTGAAATAAATCCAGCTAATTGATCAATAAATAAATGAAGTTTTAGCCTAAAAGTAACTAGGGTAATTGCTATAAGCCTAAAAACTGTTTAGGCTGATTGGAAAATACTGGAGACTATTCCAATCAGTCTGGCAAATAAGAAAATGACGATGATGCTTTGCAACGAACCGGATTTTCTAATTAGCCAACTATATATGCAACAAAAAAGAAATACAAGATTAGCTCAACCCTTAAACCAACTATTTTTAAACGATATTTCGTATTATTCTAATTTAAAATAATGCATAATGATACCACCCATTAGCAGTACTTTGTGATAAATGAATTCATTATTATTTCTTAAGTGATGTTTAAAAGTTATTCCAGAAAATAAAACACAACATAACAGCTGAAACATACAAACAAGTAAGAATACAAGGAACATTCAAAGAAAGATGGCTTTAAAATGACAGACATAAAAAATGTTCATATCACTGCAGTTATTGAGCTTGGCTCCAAATGTCATACACAGAGCCTGATGATATGTAGGCCAATTCTCGTGCTTTTGGCGATAAATAAATGGCGAGAACGAGGCGTAAAGGTGACAAGTTCATTAGCTCTGATGTTAAGCAAACTAAGATTTCCTTATCGAGTCGTTGGATAATTATGAATAATTATTATGAATTTCATGTGAAGATATATCTCAAGTTAAAATTTTTGATGGTCCCATCAAAAAATTTTGATGATTTATGCTAATTTCAATACGATTCATGATGGTCACCATCATCCAACATTTTCCATTATTCGATCACGGTTTTTGATATGCCAACAAGCTTCCATCATTCCATGAAGAAAAATGTTACTTTAATACTATGATGGTCAACCATCAAGAGAAGTTTGATTCTCATGGACCAACAATCCATGATGATCCGTGATGGTCCTTGATAATTTTAACTAGACATTTCCATGATGGCTTAATGGGGATTCTTGTTGGTTCTCAGGAATATATCATCAAAACAATTAAGTTTTTTTTTCATGTTGGCTCATCATAAATCAATCCGAATAAATAAATTGAGGTGATGGTGGTTCATGTTCGTTCCAAGATTTGATTTCTAAGAAACTATGATGGAAATTTCGGCTGGTTCAACATGAACAAACCATAAAAACAAGTTGCTATTCTTATGTTGGACCATTATAAATCAGTCCATACATTGGGGTGATGGTTACTTATATTGGTTACCATCAAGAAATATAATCGTTCATGATGGTTATTACGAAGATTATGTTGGTCCATCAATAGAAAACCATCAAAAATTTTGACTTGGGATGTCATTCTAACTTCACCTGTTACTGAAACTGTTTCTTAGACTATTTCTTGGTCAGAGAATTGGCCTGATAGATTATATTAAATTAATATTTCTTTAGGATTGGTCTCCACCCATTATAACTCGATGAAGATCTTGTTGGAGTTTGGGAATTTTGGTTGTATAGAACTGTATCTTCTGGACCAATCATTTGCATATTTAGTCTTAAATTATTTAACCTGGGTTGCCTCGCCTCATTTTGTGCATTTGCTGAACCTTGCTGGGGTACTGATAGTTCATCTTGAACAACCTGTGCAATTTCTTGCAAGGAAGGCGTTTCGTTTAAAATGATTACTTGTTGCCCATTATTCATAGTTGGATGCAAGGAAGATTTATCCTGATTTTGAATCCGCATTCTGCTATCGGAAATGATGGTTGCTGGTTTTTCTCCTATGGGTCTTAGGTCATCATTTATTTGGACTTGTTGATCGTTAGTTTGAATATTTGAATTTGTGTCAAATTCTCTTATATTCTGTTGTTGAACAACGTTTGGAAATTGAATCAATTCTCTTTGTTGTTCGATATTTTGAGCTAAGGGCCGGAATCTTAAATTTTGCTGGGGTACATTATTATTGAACTGAGGCTGGGAAGAATACTGCTGATTTTGAGTATTTTGCTGATGTCTTCCTTGTTGATATTGCTGCTGATGTCTCGTTTGTTGATATTGTTGCTGCTGTTCTCTTTGATTAAATTGTTGTTGATTATTTAGCTGCTGTCTTGTTTGTTGATATTGTTGTTGCGAATTTTGCTGCTGTCCGCCTTGATTAAATTGCTGTTGATTATTTAGCTGCTGTCTTGTTTGTTGATGTTCTTGCTGCGTATTTTGCTGTTGTCCTCCTAGTTGAAATTGTTGTTGATGATTCTGTTGCACCCTTGTTTGTTGGTATTGTTGCTGTTGATTTTGTTGTTGTCTCGTTTGTTGCAATTGTTGCTCTTGATTTTGCTGCTGTCTCGCTGGTTGAAATTGTTGCTGATGGTTTTGCTGTTGTCTCATTTGCTGATGATGTAGCTGTTGATTCTGCTGATGATATTGAATGAGCTCTGGTTGTTTCGCAAAGAGGTGTTGTTCTTGCTCTTGATGACTCTGCTGTATGTTAAAAGGAGGGAAACTTTGCTGGTTTAAAAACTGTTGAGGAACATCGTGTTGAGACTGTTCATTTTGATGCTGAAATTGCTGTTGAGATAGAATTTGTGATTGAATTTGTGACTGGTGATTATTTTCCAAATTATGCTGCTGTGGTTCAAATTGTTGATTGTTATGAAATTGTAAATTAGGTTCTCTGAAAGTGTTTTCTGATTGTTTAGGCTGTTCGAACTGGATTGGAATGTTTTGTTGTTGCACCCTTTGAATAAGTATTTCCTGTTGCTGAGATAATTGTTTACCAGATCCTTGTTCATTAGTGGGCTGGTTTGATTGAATGCTGTTGATTGTATGAAGTTGCTTTTCTTGCACAGGTTGAAAGTTTTCCTGATTTGATTGAAGGGGAATTCCATTCTGCTGCCTGTTTTGTTGATTACCTTTAAATTCTTCTAATTGTTGTTGTCCTAACTGAGCCTGAAATAATTGTTGATTGTCTTGACTTCCGGTTGGTTTTAATGCACTTTGTTGAGTAAATGTATTTACTGTGTCGTGATTTACTTTAACCTGCAATACTTCATTTAGATTGGAATTTTTATTTACGCTATCGGTTAGCACAAATTGCGAATCTTTGTTGTCTGAAATTTTCGGTGATTCGGGAAATGTTACTTTCTCCACTGACTCTTGTGCAGTCGTGAAACTATTCGAGTGCTCTGAATTCTTTTGGCTATCGTCAAAGAGAGTGGCGCGATTATTAAACTCACTAAGCAATTCTTCTTCGGCAAAGTTAGGAGTGATAGCTGGTACATCAATAATTTTTTGTTGAGAAAAGGATTTTTCACTATTTCGAATTAAATTAGTATTTGATTGCTTGTTGTTAGTTATTTCAGAATTTACCAAAGTGTTTTCATTTTGCGTTTGATGGACGTTTGCATTTGGTAAGCTATCAGCTACGCGCTGGCCAACATTGGCATCTAAAGTGCCAATCTGATTAGTTTCAACTCGATCATTGACTAATGCTTGTTGAAATATCTGACCATTATCGAAATCAGTATTTTGTTGTTGAATCGTCCTCTGTTCTTCTTGAGGTATTTCTACTTCATCAGTATCATGGGAGTTGTTTTGAACATTTTGAGTCAAACCAGAGTTATTTTCTTCAAATGCAACTCCTTGGTCAAAGTCTATTTGATCTTGAAAGGCATCTTGAACTTGACCATCCAAAACTTCTTGGCCATAATAAGTTTGGTCACTATCAACGGTGCCAGTTGATTTGGGCAGGGAGCCTACATCTGCACCAATATCGGAATCTGTATTGGTTGTATCGATATCCAAAACTTCTGTGGGAAAATCTATAGGATCAACTAATACTTGCTGATCTGCTTGCTGATTATAATTTTCATTAGAAAAGCTGAAAGACTCATCTTTTCTTTCGGTTAGCAATTGATCTTCGAAATTAGGTGCAGCTGTATTGGCATAATTTTGTGATACACCTGAAAAACTGCCTGTTTCAGAATTAGGTATAGGCTGTCCAATTTGCCGCACATCGTATGCATCGAAGTTTTCATTTTGATATTCACTTTCATCTCTAGAATTGAAGCTCGATACTCCAAACGTTTGACTTGAATCTCCAAAAGAAGAGCCACTGTGTTTTTGTATCTCCGAATTAAAACTGCTTATACTTGTGGATTGTCCACTAGTTTGTGAAGATTCAACTCTTCCACTTAAATCAAATGGTTGAGAGGAGATCTGATCAACTGAAAACAACTTTTCATCTGCAATACCTTGTCCGCTTAGAATCTGAGATGGGTTAATGTCGTCAAGGTTCGCGTAGAGTTCGGCATTTAGATTATAAAAGCTGGGAGTTTCCGCGCAGTTGTAGTTGTACCACCAGTCGCATACAAAGTACTGCTGGTTGAATACTGTACCATTCGGGCAAAGGAAAGAATGTTTGGCACCATTTTCTTCGCAGAAGTGAAACACCTGTAAATTATAAAAATGATAATTACCTTTTTATTCATCTATTTTTGCAAAACGGATAAGCAAAAATACTTTTTTTTTATTAAATACTGTTCAGTCTCCTTACTAAAGCAGGATTTTGAGTCTAAAGTGGGAAATAAAATTTTTTATGTAATTGACTCGAATTTTACACTTAAGATAATATTATTAAACGTTTGACTTTAAAAAAGAGATTTATTAAGTCACTTGGGAGTTCAAAAGTTTTTACTGAAACAAGTATTTACTACATGGCCGTAATAAAGTTTTTTCTTATTGTAAAGTATCATTTTGATTTAATGGAATAAAAGGAAAGAAGGAAATTTATGGACAACCTAATAAAATTAGTGCATATTAGACTTATAATATAATTTATAATAAAAAATACTATATTACTTCAAATAATTGGGAATTTCATCCATGAAAATTCGAACATTTTAACCAAAAATTTGTAAGTAGATAGGAGGTGACTTTAAAAAAGCAATGTAAATTGAATAGTTCCTAGTCTTGTCTTAAAAAGGCAAAGAATTTTAACAATAAATTTAGATCACGATCTCTTTCTCAGTCCAGAATCTTAATCTCTCTATCATCTCGGCAAATTTTTCAAGGTACTTAAAGGATGTTAGTAATTATTCGGCAATTTTCTAAATGTTTATTTTTTTGAAGAACTTCAGCTGCTTTGTTGAGAAAATTATCGGTAGAACCATCAATGAGATGACTAGATAGTGTCTCAAAAGAAACAAAACTTATAAAAATAAACTAGTGGAGAAATATTGCGTTAGATAAAGAAAGCTAAGACCAAATACCATGGCCTGTAGTAGGCTGTAACGCAGTAGAGGAAGAAAATAGAGTTTTAAATAAGAAATGGAACTCACCTGACAAGAAGCATCCATATCACCATATATTCCTGCTGAGTATGGCTGCTGATCACAACTAAAAGATGTAAATGGCACTTGATAAAATATGGGATAATCTTCACCAGGATTACCTGGCACTACTTCCCTAAGGGATTCGATTGGATCATCAGAGCCAATGAATACTGTTTGATCATCCGAGCCGAAGTCACTGGAACCCTCACTTTTCAATGAAAATGCTTGATCTGTTGATGATCTTGAAGGTGTCTGGCTCCACCTATCTGTTCGTTCAGACAGATCCTGGGACTGATATATATCTTGGATAGGAATAGCTTGTTGCGATTGGTCATTGAAAGAAAATACTTGTTGAAATGTATCAACTGCCTTATTGACATTTTCGTTATCCAAATTTGAGACTTCCTGCTGCTGAGGATTGTCAGCAAAATCATTCGGAAAGTCTTCGTCGAGTGCTTTCTGGAATTGGGAATTGTCTTCAAACGCTGTTTGACCGGGAGCGTATTCATAGTTAAAGTTTTCTTGATTAGTGAATCCTAGTGGATCATCATTAGCGAATTGAGATTGCTGTGGGAAGTTTTGTGAAAAATCTTGGGGGACATTGATGTCTTGTTGACTAGCATCAGCCCCACCGGATACGCTTTGTCCAACCGAATCTTCAAAGTGGTCATAAAAATCATCATTTACTTGATCTGCATTTTGTTCAAAATTAGATGGAGAATCCCCACCGATATTGGAGTTCGAAAAGTATGCATACTGATCAGGAGCTTTATCATCTTGGATGTCAGGAGCAACACCAAAGTTATCTATGTTCGGTAGTCTGTCACTTGTAGGATTAATAAATGCTTTTTCATTCAATGAAGGTGAATTTTCTTGTATGGCATCAGCAGGATTATTACTCGAGATTGCACTTTTCTTAGATCCAAACGAACTTTGTGATACCTGATGGTGACTATTGGATAGAATGCTATCGGATACCCTCTTATGCGTCGGTGTTGATTGAGAATTTTGCTGAGTATGATGCTGAATTTCGGTTTCTTGTTTTGCTGATGAGTTCTCTTGAAATGTTTTAACACTCGTGGATGAATCAGAGGATGTAGAGGACGATTTAAATCTTGAACCAAATTGCGCAGTTGAAGAGTGAGGAGAGTCTGCTGGCAATAAACCGTAGACTATTTCATCAGATGACACTGGAACATTTTGTGAAGATTGTGCATTTGATTGATGGGCAGTTTTAACTTGAGACCATGTATTGCTACTTGTACCTTTATCATTTGTTTCAGGTCTTTTTGTCTAAAAATAAATTAATAAAAAGAAAGTTAACAAACTAGGGACAAAACATTTGTTGATTAGTTTAGAAAGGGAATGGTAAATGATCAATTAATATTATTTGCTAAAGGGGAAATGGTATTGATCAAGTTATTTGAGAGAGAAAGGTAACTATATCAAAACAATTTCACTGAAAAGGGAAAAAAAGCTTCATTAGCTTTTTCTTATGTTGAAAAAATTAAAAATTTGAGGTGTTTCGTAATCATGACCTTTGCTATATATTTTTGGGATTGATAGTAGGGAAATACATATTCAACCAAAATACATGTTCAAACAATAACAGGGAAATACATATTCAACCTTAAGACCTTTTATAAAAAACTAATTAGTACCAGCGTCAAGCTACTTTTCTTAAAGAGTATTTAATTTGAATCCATTTTTCCCTCTCTTAGTTTGTTAACTTGGTAAGAGTTCATCATTTAATTTTTTTAATTTGAAAAGTGTCTAAAAGCTGCATTTTCTGAGCTCAAAAAAATTTGCATAACTTCATTGATTCGTCTAAATTGAAAGTTTAAAAAAAAAAAAAAAGAATTAAATTTTTTTTTAAATGCTTAGGCTATTGGTCCATTTTAAAGCCCAAACAATTCTTTAGGGCAAGGTGATAGATATAATTTATAATTATCGCTACACAGCAACAATCAAAACAATCACAAACTACTATACACAAGAAATTAAAGAAATGTTTTAAAGATTTGAAATATTTGACACAGTTCCTGATCACTTTATATTTGGGTATTCTTGTTGGTGCTTTGTGAGTTTTATCCATTAGAAATATATTGAACAAAAATATATCTAATAGTAATGATTATAATAAGAGTTGTGAGTGGTGTTTCTTATAACTATATAATTGTTTATCCTGGTTTATTCTGAAATTTTGATTGCTGGTGAAAAGTATCAATTCAATTTCATCCCTAAATCATATTATTGCAATTGCAAAATCATATTATTGCAATTTCATCTCTAAATCATAAAAACATTTCAAAAAATTTTACTTTTCTGTTTAGGAAAGACAAGGAAAAAAAAATTTCTCATCGGTTTATTGCTGTGCATTGTTGCAATTAAAGCTCAATACAATCCTTCTTTCTAAAAGATAATTGTTAGCTAACAACCCTGCATCTTTTTTTAGTCAAAAGCGAGTTTTATTAGGAATTCATTGCACTCTTTTTAGTAACTGTTAACGTTAGATTCTTTATGACAGGTAAGCATGAGTAATGATGATATGCTCGGACGAATCAGTGAATTAGCAGTTTGAAAACTTTTAAAAACCACGTATTTTTGCTTGTAGTTACGCTTTTAACCCTTTGACACCGATGTCCCTTTTGTATATTTTTTGATGCTATAATTACAAGCAAAAAAATATTTTAGTCTTTTTTAGTTAGAGAAAAAACGGTCTAATAGTTAATAAAAAATATGCTAAAGTATCGGAATTATATTTGTACTAAAATATAAAATTCAAATAGAGCAGTTTGAGTATTTTTTCCATTCATATTCAAAAATTTATCAATAATTGTTTTTGTTCATTAAAGGAATTCCATTGATGAATAACTGTTTCTCTTAGATCTAAACAACTGCAAGTAAGTGAAAAGTTGAAAAATTATTGTTTAGAACATTTCATATTTAAAGCAGCAAAAGACTCTTGTGTTACTTGCTGTATTTCAAGATCATAAATTATTAAAATGCTATATATAACATTTTTCATTTATTTTGATATAAGCTAATCAAAATAGTAAAAAAAAAGTTTGAAAAATATATTTAATAAAAATTCTGGGTCAAAGGATTAAAGCGTTTTTCTATTACTTAAATTAATGTACTCTATTACTCAAACTAATTAAAATCAATGATAATTGAAATTAAAAAATGAAGTTGTATACTAAAATGCCTATTCAACAGGAAAATTGCTTGTTTGCAGTAAAATCTGACTATCATGAGGTGGCTGTGATCAGCATTATTTTCGCTTTCAAATGATACTGAGTATAGATAAAATTTATTTTAAAGACATGTTTCGCTTAATCCAATAACGTTAAATGAACAAGAACAACAAATAATAGCAAATTAAAAAAAAAATTGGTATTATTTTAATCCTCAAAATATATGCCATTTAATTTTATGTGAAGTGTTAATTAAGAGTATTTCTTTGACATTAATGAATTTTGGTATTTATTTTGTAATAAATAAATAAACCTGAAGAAAAAAGTTGTTTTCAAAGCTTTTTTTTAATGTGTGTTTTGCTACTACATTGCTGGTTAAATGAATTACGAAACTCAAAATAGAAATTTGTGTCTTGTTATTATTGCTGAACACAGAGCAATACAATTGCAATAAAATTCTACCTTTTCTCTTAATTGTCTTTCAAAAAACCAATCAAAGCACGCACTTAAGATAATTCAACTGATCAATGAAAGGAAATAAAAAAAACTCGGTCTTTTCCTTGATTGATTTTAGACACAAAGCCATTTAAAAGGTTTTTTGCATCATCAACTTCTGACCTTTTCGCATAAAATACTCGCGTTACTTTAAAATGGCATTGCAATTCGCATTATTTACCTGTTTTCTCGCCGCTAGCCGAATGATAAAAATAAAAATGAGCTTTACTGTGGTAAGTTAAATAAAAAAAAAATCGGATAAAACTTTTCCTATTTTTTGTTCCTCAGTAACTGCCCCCGATTTCGTTTAAAATGTGGATTTTGTCATTAAAAATTGCTTTTAAAAAAAATTATTTTTTAAATTAATAATTTAAAAGTAATTTGGTCTTTACTGAGTTGGAATGAATTGCTATTTAAAACTGTTTTTAAATGACATTAGGTTTAAGAAAACGAGTTTTATAAATTAAAAAATAATTGTTTGATTTGAAACTTATCAAGGTATGGTTGAAAATGATAAAACGTACGAATATAAATAATATTAAGGAATGCCAACTTTTGACCTCTCGCTTGTTATATTAAGACCACATTTTTCACCTGGTAACTTCCTCTTTTATTTTGCTTTGATTTTGTTAATCAAAAATCTAATACTGTCAACAAAAAGTATCTTTATTCAATCCAAAAATGTGCTTTTGTAAATGATTCCGATAATATTTGAATAGCTAATTAACCTATTAGAAATATACCTTTGAATTGAATTTTAGTTAGCATAAATCCAGATATTATATTGAAATCCATTTAGATAAAAAAAAAGTATGATTGCCAACTGTAATTGAGTCTGTTTGGTTGCTCTCAATATGCAGAATTATCAAAGTTTCTTCAGTGTATCTGGTTTTAATAGTTTTCATATCTCCTTCTTCTCTAGTGATTCGGCAGATTATAATAGTGTTTTGTTTCTTCCTCGCCTTAACATTAAATTACGACCCTAAATGTGCAAATTTTGTTTTTACTTCATTTTTGACAAAGATTCTCAAAGTAAATACTAAAGACACTAAAAAACTTATTTTAAATGAATTTTAAAAAAATAAAAAGAAACGGATTGTATATCGGTAAAATGCTTCGAGCAAAACGTTCATAACTCATAAATTGCAGTTCTTTCTTGCTGATACTGGGTGTGGTCAAGTAAATAAAGAGCCAATAGCAATATTGTTAAAATCTTGTATATAAAATAATTTATTAAAAATTGAAACAAATACTCACTTTTATTGATGCACAAGTGGCCAGATAGAAAATGCTCCCTAAAAAAGTAAATTTATTGGAAATAGCAGTTTTTAAAAACAAATTCAAAATTGAATTAAAAGATAGCTGCTTAGTCAAATAAGTTTAATCATTACTTCACAAAATACACTATACAGGTAAATAAAAATTCAAGAAGTACTAGTTGAAGTAGTTGTAAAACCTACTTTATCGCATACTTTCGGAATTTTTATCAATATTATTAGAGGATGACGATTCATTGTATTGATTAATGAATTCAACAGTAGACTCGAATTGTAGACTGGATTATGGGGTGGTTTTAATATAAACAATAGTAAGTAACAAAACAAAAAAGAATGAAAAAAATCTAATTAACGTCTAAATGGATGTCAATCGATCAAATTTAACGTCTTCAGTGACTAATTTATTTGTCAGATGAAATCAGAACATGTTAGACCCATTTGTTTTCGCTTTTTATAATTAAGAAAGTTTAGACGAAAGTCTTAAATTAATAAAGATTTCACAATTGTACTTTAATTTTAAGACATTTTAACTTATTCAAAGGTGGATAAATTTTAGAACTTGCTTAAGGGTAACAAGAAGAAGAATGGTTCATTAAATAACCTATAATTTTACTCAATTACTCCAATAATCATACTCACAAACACTTGCATATATTATATCTTATACAAAAGTGTTTTTGAGTAAATAAGTGCATTTATAGGTCATTTCCTGTTAATAATTTGACATATTTCAATTATTTTATTGGATTAAAAGCAGTGTTATAGTTTAAAATTTCTCTTTACTTAAAAAAAAATATTGCACATCTAAATAAATTTTTTCTAAGGAACACGCTTATATGAAAATGTTACTGATGCGGACATTATGAGTTTTGGCAGCCATTTTATGCTTTTTTATTTTCCTTTATTTATTTACATTTACTAGCTCTGCATAAATCAGTATACCGCAAACAATAACTTTTTACAACTAGTACTCTTACGTCTTTATAATGAGCAAGACTTTGTGCCACTTTGCTTAAATTTGGAATTCACTTCGTAGTAATTACATAATTAATTTTGGCGACTTTCGACGTAAAGGAAAAAATTAATCGCAGTCAGGAACGTATCTTTATGACTAAAGACTAAAAAAATTTTTTTTTAGAAATTGAAAAATTTTTTTTTACATTTTGAAATGATTTTTCTATTTTTTCGCCGTGTTATTAAATTTAGTGAAAACAATTAATACTAGAATTTTGATATTTTTCAAACACATGTTCTTATGTTTGAAGAGGATCAACATATCTTACTTTGTTTAAATTTCTAACCAGTTTTGGTGTAATTAAATAGTAACGTTGCATTTTTACCAAAGAATATCAATCTACTCCAATATTTGTATTTTTTTTTTTTTTTGCGGTGTAATTGGTAATCTGTCATAATGCTTCGTTCGGAGAAACGAAAAATTAAGGAAATCAATTTATTCTAGAACTAAAGTTCTATTTCATTTACAACTTTAGGACATTTTATTAGTTGCAAATCAACTGAACAAGTTTAACATTTAGCCAGAATTTATTATTAATATAATAGAATGATCACGCTCTCACGTCCTTAGTTCTTATGCTTGAATTATATTTATGTCGTAGTTATTAAGTATAAACCAAGTTTATTAAACCAAGTCTAAGCCAAGTTTATTACACCAAGTCTGAACTAAGTTTATTAAACCAGAAATTAAATCAGCCTTTGGAATGTTTTTTGCCTTAAATGGACTCGTTTGTAGCCGTGACAACGTTAGTTTTCGAGAATACTTTTTACTAATAAATATTTCATATTTTAATTTTTTTAGATAGAGCGCTTGCCTCTTTGCGAGGTGACCAAAGTTTGAGTCTAACGATGGCTGGTCAATGCAAATTCTGCTCCCTACTCTCTCTGACCGCAGTACTGAAGTAAAATATTCTCAATAGTAGAAGGATCATGAGCTTTCATGTTAACCGTGAGAGGTTTTCGAGGTTTTTCCCTCAGTGTAAGGCAAATGCAGGTTAGTTCTATCATAAAGTCCTCCACGAAGTCTAATATGTCTCAATACTTGATACAGGAATTCCTCGTCTTCTGGTTTGAGTTAAAATTACAAAGCTACGGAACTGAACATTAAAAGTTGTTTTACACAAAAATAATTCGGCTGTTCAACGTCGGTTACAAAACAAAATAAAAAAAAATTAGTCCTATTTTTTCCTTTAAACGCAAGGAATATTTTATTGTAATGGTCTAAATCTATCTTGTTTAACTTATTATATCTAAAAATTATACGATTTTATTCCTTTTTCTGTATCATATCAAATACTTATATGCTAAAAAAATTTATTTAATACTAAAATTGTAATAAATTTAAAATATTCGTGTCCATATTTGTCAACCGAATGTCCCCTTTGGATAGATGCTGGCGGCAGTACCCCTCTTAGCCCTACACCACTATCTTAAAACCAAAATTATGACCATTTTTAAAACTATATTACTAGTATCCTAAAAGAAAAAAAAAATATTCTAATTTATTTTGCAATTTCATAACAATTAGAGAACATTCTTACAAAATGATACCTTTTAAAATGAAATTAATTTGTCCTGATTTTCTTACTAGAGACAACAAACAATCTGTAGATTTAATATTCTACATCTTTCATATCGAAAAAAATATAAAGACAGGCACAAACACTCGATAAAAAATTATTTCCTCAACTGTTATTTGAAAATGAAAGTTAATTTCCGTAACATTTTTGAATAAATGCAACTGTTTATTCTTCGTCCGTGCTTTCAACTTTATTAATACATCCCACGTAAAAACTGTTTTAACAGTCAGTTTGAACAATGGGAAGCAAACATGTTTGATTAAACTAGGAATTGATGGTGTTTTCATAGAAAATAGCATTTTAAGAAACGCTTATAATGTTTTTAACTTAATAAATGTAGGATAGCAAAACCCACGCTGTGAAATTAGAAACCATTTTATCGAGTGCATTTTCTATTGATGATGTAGTTTCTGAATATATTGTAAATGCATGAATTATTTATTTATCTTTTATCGTAAGTATGTAAATTCGAATTCTATAAATACGATGAAATATTGAACCCCATTAAAGTTTTGTTTGCATACAATAATACTATTCTGAAACAGGAAATCTACCAGAATTAACCGTTATATAGAACTAATTTAAACTAAAATAAAACTCGATTTTCAAATACGATTTTTTTTTTCAATTTGTAAATTTCTTTGCGTGTTTTTTAAACCATTTCTCGCATGCAGCAAATGAGGAACGCAGAATTTTGAATTAAAGAATAAAGATTTTAAATTCACTTAGGCATCCGACCGACTAGTTTCGACAACTTTTTTTTTAAAAATATCAATATAAAATTTTGAAAAACTAGTCTATTTGTTTTATTATATGTAAAAACTAATAAAACTAGCAAAAAATTAAATGGCCATTTTTAGGTGAAAATAAGGCATTTTTTGCACGTACGCTAAACGATTTTTAAAAAAATTCTATAACCCGAAAGAAACAATGCTTTGATGATTTTATTTATAAGGATATCAACTATATTTTGAATGTTTATCTTAAAAGCATGTGCATATACTACTGATTTAGGAATCAACGTAGTTAAAAGAGCAAATTTTAAAAATTTAGCACTTGTTTTTGCGAAAGGACATTCATAAAAAATGAAATTCAACTTTTTCTCTTAGTCTGTTGTTCAAAACATGTCTGCTATTATCGTAAATTGCACTCCTGTAAAATTGTAGACAATTACTTAAAAAACAATATGAGATTTAAGGAGGGGTAAAATGTGAAAAATAATAATTTTGAGATAAATGCATTTAAAGTCTTTAACTCATTAGTCTATCCACTGTTATCACCTTGCACAAAAATTGTTATAATTTCGTAAATAATTGCAGTACAAACAAAANTACGTACGTATTAGCGTTTTATATAATATAGATTCTATAACCCGAAACAAACAATCTTTTGAGGCATTTATTTATGAGGATATCAACTATATTTTGAATGCTTATCTTAGAAGCACGTGCATATACTACTGATTTAGGAATCAACGTAGTTAAAAAAGCAAATTTTAAAAATTTCAGCACTTGTTTTTGCGAAAGAACATTCGTAAAAAAGGAAATTCAACTTTTTCTCTTAGTCTGTTGTTCAAAACATGCCTGCTATTATCGTAAACACTCCTGCAAAATTGTAGACAATTACTTAAAAAACAATATGAGATATTGTGTTTAAGGAGGGGTAAAATGTGAAAAATAATAATTTTGAGATAAGCCCATTTAAAGTCTTTAACTCATTAGTCTATCCACTGTTATCACCTTGCACAAAAATTGTTATAATTTCGTAAATAATTGCAGTACAAACAAAAGTGAAGTATTTATAGAAAGCTAAAAGGACAGAGATTTTAAATTCATAATAAACTTAAGATCTTTCCTGGAACAACAGCAATGCTGCTGTGTGCTTCAATCAACGTAATGTTATTTATTAACTTTACGGTACCTATAGAATGGTATAATGCAATAATGCAATGGTATAATGCAAATAAATAATTAACAAATTAGTTGTTAGAATTAATCCTCAATTAATTAAAAAACTACAATACAACGAGTCAAAGGTTATAAAATTATATTTTGGGAAGAGTTTTAAATAATAGGTTTAAAATAATTATAGATTCATAATAATTGGTTTAAAATAATTTGAAAGGTTAAAAAAATGACTGAAGGTTGAATATTTAAGGGACTGAACACGGTTATGTGCATTTAATACTTGATATTCAAATAATCAAGTAAGTATAATCAAGCAATATTAATTAGCTGATAGCAATTAAGAAAGTATAATGCAAAATGAAACGGTATAATATACTACAGCAATTAATGAAATCGATGCAATCATTGTACATACAATCCAACGCGCCTGAACATCAGGAAATCTGCCTTATTATAACTGCGTATATAAGCCGGTGAACTATGAAATCTGAATTTAATCTAAAATAAATGTTTGAAACAAACAATGCTTTTCTAGTAGAAGGAGAAAATAATTCTTGGATTGAACATGGAAAACACGTTGCTCCAATTGAGATTTGATCACTCTAGCTCAGTGGTTACCAACTAGCTGCCCGCGATGCCTTTTTTTGTAGTCCGCGAACTAATATATATTAGTCGTCGTTTTTTTGCGGACAATTTTCGTAAAAAATCTATATTGGTTTAAAACACTTTTATTTCGTTTACTTAATTTCTTCGTTTCTGTTAAATTTAACATACCAACAGTGCAAAAAAATTTATTTTTCAGGTTTTGCATCCAAGGAAATATTTATTCAAATACAAAAATTATCGTGTATGTTGCTCTTCTTTATTACGTTTTTCGTATTTTGTGAATATAATTTAGTATGTGCGTATCAGAAATTTGTTATTCTCGAAGAAATTCTCAAATTTAACTTTTTGAAACCACTCATTTTGAACGAAATTACTCATTTTGTAAATTTTAAAACGCATAAAAGAGTGAACGAATATCATCTTTTTTTTTTTTAATTCCTTGAATTGAATATCGCATGAGAGGAAAAGAAAAAGAATTAATTTCAAATGCTCGAGAATTTTTTTGTTGTTGCCATAATTCCTAAAGAGTCGAAAAAATGTTAATTTATCGCAGAATTAAATTTAAAAGAAAAATAATCCTGTCACTAAGTTTCTGATTAAGAGAGGATTCAAAATGATACGTAACAAGCATTACTTGTAATGCTTTTTATTTTGCTTTTAATATTAAAAAAACTTTGATAAAACTCTAACAGTAATATTTAATGTTCCTACAAGCATAAAAGAGTCCTACATAAAATTTTGATAAAAAAGCGGCCAGCCATTTGATTGGTGTTTTTAATTGCGGCCCCCGGCCACATGTAAGTTGGAAACCCCTGCTCTAGCTAGTTGAGAAATGGTCGAAATTTCATTTTTTTAAACGCTGATTGAGAATTGAGAAACGCTGATTGTTGGAATTTATTTGTTATCAAGCATAAAGCTCTAGACTAGGTTTAAGTACAAAAGTTGGGAAGCAGTTGGAATTTCAATTGATGATAAATTCTTTGTTATGTACAATAATATGGAACTAAATTTTGATTTTAATGTTGAGGAAGCAATTCAGGCATAAAACTCTGGATAAGATTTAAGAGAAAAGTTAAAAACTGGAAAGTGGTTAATATTTTGACTAAGGATAAATTATTCTATTTGGCGATCAAATTTCAATACATTTTGCTTTTAGGTGTCAGAAAAGGATTGAATCTTGCATTGTCATTAAGCATGAAGCTTCAGCAGAGATTTAAGAGCTCTAGCTAGTTGGAAAGTGGTCGAAATTTTGATTGGTTCCATGCAGACTCGAGAGTGAATGTTGTAGGTGATAAGTGGGTGAATAATGTTGTAGGTAGCTACTTTATATTCGTCGCACTAGAGTTGCACAATGGACTATCGGCGATGATCTGGGAAACATCCCTGAGGATGATCCGAAAACATGCCATCACAATTTTATTCTTCTGCAGAAGGGATTGCACCCCCGCTTCGGTAGCCGGACGATGTGAGCGCGAAGTCGAGAATTTTACGGTAGAACAGTTTAACGAGGACCAATACCCCACACCCTCGATCCTTACGCAGGTTGATCAAAGTGGTCACCCACCCGCTTATTGTACGCAGCCAGTGATGGTTGAATTCAGTGTTCTACTGTCTTTACGAACAGTTCACAACGGGACAAAAGCTGTAGCAATAATAAGAGTTACAAACATTTTATTCAAATCATTATTTGCGAAATGCTTATTCTAAGATTTTAGAATATTTATGATTCAAGCCTAATGTAAAGCTTGTGAATAAAAAATATTATTTTTGTGATAAGAAGTTAAGTAATAACGCAAAATCTTATATTTAAGAGGTATGCTATGTTAAATCATATATAAAAGTTATTTTTGATCTAAAGAAAATAAGTTTCTCCACTTTTACCACTTAAACTATTTATTTGTCTAATGATTAAAAATTATTTAAATTAAATTAACTTTTTCTTTCCACACGCTTAAGTTACATATTTATATAGTTGGCGACAAATGACAAATCTATTTCCCCGTGTCGTGTTTGCTTTCATTTGATTCAGCTTAAGAAAAAGTGCATCGTAAACAATACTCTGTTTTTGTCTAAACATAAATATTTAAATTTGTCATTTATCCTTTTATTACTACCCCACACATCCCAGGATTTCAAGGTCTTTTTTTAAAAACATCATCTCAGACCTTTAAATAAAAAATTCAAATAGGCTCTTATTCATAATGACCTTAAACCTTAATTTGATTGCATTAAAATAAGGAAGGATAAAATTATATTTTTATAAATGAAAAAAACTTACCTAAAATCAAAATATTCACTTCAAATCTGAGAATATTCATTGTTCACATGAGCCCTGCCACACAAAAAAAAGAATTGAAATAAATATAGAATTAGAATGGTTGATGAAGAAACTGAATTTCAATAGATTTATAGAATTAAAATGAAGAAAAATAATTAAAATAGTTAATTCAATATTTCACGGTTTCATTATTTTTAGTAGAAACAAAGATTGAAACAAGAATATATTAAAAATTTATTTTTTTACTATTGTTATTATTCATCATTAGTATTATTCACAGTTGTCACATGGCTAATTTTTATAAGTTGTATTATCAACCAATCATAATTTTGATTCTCTTGTATCTTCTCTCTTTCGATTTAACTTTATAATTAAGAAGTTTTAAAAACAATATAAAAGACGAGGGAAGGCATGTTTTCAATACACAACTACACTACATTAAAATTTCATTCGCGTAACTTAACAAGATAGCATAAACTTTGATTTTTTTTTTTCGCAATTGTTGCTGCATCTAGTGATATTTGTCAAAATCTTTTTGTAGCTCTGATACACACTGAGCAAGGTGTTTCGAAACTTTCCCCCTTAATACGCATTCTGAGAAACCGTGTCAAAAATTGAGCTAAAATTAAATTCACGTTATGGATAAATAAATAATAATAAATAAAAGAGATAGCAAGATCTAGATTAAAATTTGACGAACCACTATTGAGGAAGGCGAGCGTGGAGCCTCAAACCTTGTTTGATTGCCGGAGAACAAGAGTATGAGGTGTACGGCGATTATCAGAAACTTTTTCAAATTTCATCATTCCATCAAACTGTGTCAGATGTTTTTAATTTCGTCATTCTCAGTAGCGATTTATCAGATTTTAATAACGTTTTTATTTTCAACTTTGCTTAACTAATTATTGTGACTTCAAGCGTCGGTCAATTTCAAATTTTTAACAAGAGTTTATAAATCTATATTATGAGCAGTAATGACCGAACACCCAGTATTATTATTTTTTTTTTTTTAATCACGCTTTCACCTAGCCTCACCGACACGGTCACATACAAACAATAATTTATAAAAAGCTTTGAGCGTTCACACGATCTTAGCAATTTACAAGTAAAAAAACTTTAATCAGAGTGTATATTTTTCTTCCACAAAATACACAGGTTTGTAAGCCTCTATTTTATATGTTGGGTTAACAAGTAAGTAATTTTATTTTTTTCGTGTGAAACAAAACGCAATTTTCCTGTACAAAAGAATGAACCTGAATCGTCAGTCAACTTCTTGCCATCTTTCTGGTAACTGCATGATCCCTTGCTCATAGACATTCTGATAATTGTCAGCAAAAAACCAAACCAAATTCGATTTGAAGTCATGGTTATTACTGAAATTATTACCACTTAAGTCTTGTAAACTTCGAAATAAATGATAATCTGATTGATTAAGTCAATATTTAGTAATTTAGCACCAGTTGCTAAAGATGTGTGATGCCACGTGTTGTCGCGATGGAACAGGATTTGCCAATTATGACCTTTTGGCTTTGATTACTTCCTCCAATTTCATAAGCTGTTGGCAATGAACTTTAGAGTAGATAGTTCGGTTTTGGAAGCAGCTCAAAATACACAATACATTTGTATTGAGCTGTAGTGGCTCAGGGAATCGAACCCAGTTCACCGTCCAATGAGGAGAACTGGGTTCGAATCTCCGCGATGGTTGGTCGATACAAATTCCGCGCCCAACTCGCACCGATCACAGTGAAGACGTAAAATATCCTCAGTGGTGGACAGATGGGTTAGAATCCCCTTGCCGCCAGGTTGACTGTGGAAGGTTTTCGCGGTTTTCCTCTCTATGTAACGCAAATGCGGTCTTCTGGATTGGAATCAAACTTACAAGGCTACGGCTTTGAACATTAGTAGTCGTAAACCCTAAAATTGGTTCGGCTATTCAACGACGGTTACAAAATAAAATAAAATACATTTGTATTCGCGCCAAATTAACTACATGATCTTTTACTGGTTTTTATGGTATTATACTTAAACCTTGATCTTTTTCGATTAAATTTATTGTAGACGTTCCATTTTTATCACTAGCTATAATTCGTTTAAAATAAAGGACAACTACATTACGCTTGAAATGTGTATTACAAATATTGATTTGCTGCCCTAAGTGAATTTCTCTCAATTCGTGCGGAAGCCATATATCAAGTTTTTTAACAAGTCTAATCTTTCACACAGTTTTATGACGATTCGATTGAATTATGGCTTTCATTTTGCCATCATCAACTTCAGAAGGTCGACCAGATTGATAGTCTTCTTTCCGTGAAAAACCTCCAGAACGAAACTTTTTAAACCAATTCTGACATGTGCATACTGTTAAACAATCAACACCATAAACTTTCTTGGTGGGTGCCAGCCACTTTCTGTTTTTATGAAAATAAGAAAGTAAAATGTGCCGAAAATGCTTACATTTGCACTCTGTGTGAAAACTGGCCATAAACTAATAACGGACCGGGATAACATGGCTCGTAAGGCAGTCGGCCTATGTCCAAGAGGTCGTGGGTTCGATCTCCGCCTGCGAAAGACTTCCCGTGTAGTAAATGGTAACAGATGCACGTTAAATTTGTCGAGTCACAAAGTCCTCCATGTTCTCATAACAAATCATACCTCAGGGAGTACTGACCCAATAGTTTCCTTGTCTTCTGGATTGGAATCAAAATTACAAGGCTTGGGAGTTGAAGATTAGTAGTCGTAAACCCAAAATTGGATCTGTTGTTCAACGACGGTTATAAAATAAAATAAACTAACAGCTGTTAGCAAAATGACAAGGAATAGCATCCTAAGGGATTCGAATCTCGAAAGAAAAAAGAACTAACAATGAGAAAGAGATGGGGGGGGGGGGAAATAATACCCTTCACTGATGCATATCAAAATTATTTTTTGCAACCCCAATGCTTTAAAGTTCGGAAAATTAAACTTTTAATAGAAGTACAGTATGAAAAAAAACTAAATCTAAATCTAATCTAAGACTAACCAAATCTAAAACTTAATCTAATGATTGGACACGTAATAAGACTCAATCTAAATGGTCCGAGAGGGTGACCTTAAATATGCTAATTTGTTAGTGCAGACGATATTTTAAGTTACGAAAATAGACACTAAAACGTCTGATCCTGAAAATATAGGGGGTAGCCGAAATGGGGGAAATATGGTCCCAAGTGATTGGCCAAGCGGGGCTGTTTGAAATTTGAACCTTTTAATCTTAATTTTACTTTTTAGGTATTTCGCCGTATCATTTAGAACTCTTTAAACGAAGTGAAAATTTTTTGCACATGCTTTAAAAATTTATTTAAAGATAATTCCATACAGAAATATTTTTTTTAATTATAATAATCTAACGAAATGGGTCGATTAGTCTCCGTGAAATCAAATTTTAAAAAATATCAGTTTTTTGAAACTCGATCTCTCAACGAACTGTTCCAACGATTCCGTTCAGATGTTGTATTTTTTAAAATAAAATTATTATTTATCTACCAACAATTCAAAAGTTTTTCGACCATTATTAAAGAAAGCAATAAAAAATGATGAATACTTATTGAAAATTATCATTTGCGTAGAATTATCTTTGGATAAGCGAGTTTCATAATTGTGTGCAAATTTTTTTTTTAATTTGCTTACTTTGAACAGCTCTCCTCACCAAACTATTGAGACCATATTTCCTAGACTGTGGCGACCAACTATATTTTGGGGATCTGATATCATATTCCGTCGACAGAAAAAAAGGTATGTTTGTTCCGAGAAAATACGTTTTTGTGCATAATTTCGTAAATTAAAATATCGTCTGTTCGAACTAATAAGCACATTTGAGGTCATCTGATTATGAGAAAAAAAGTTTTTCAGAGTGTTTCATTTTTGTTTATTACATACATAGTCATTTATCGTCATTATTGGTCATTTATAGTCATTTGCTGACATAGTCATTTATCATACATCTATAATATATCTATCAATAGGAATTTTAACCTCTACCCTGTAGTTGAAAACTTGAAAACAATGTGTCGCATAATTACAGCCCTAAAAATGTTTTGTTATAATTTAATTCATCCTTAACCCCTTCCCCCCGAAAAAAAGGAAGTATTTATAGCATAATTTCCACCTTAAAACTATGCAGGGCTTATCATAATTACCACCCTAAAATATACAGAGTGTTCCATAATGACCATGCTAAGATGCAAATGGTGCTCTATAATGAGTAATGACCACCCTAAGTATACACGATGTTCCGCAATGATAGCCCTTAATAAACAGAGTGTTACTTAGTGATGATCCTTCACGTCTATTTTTAAAATCCTTAACAAAGCTGAAGTAAAAAAAAAGTATTACCAATGAAAAGTATAAAATTAATATTCAAGCAAGGAAAATAACGTAGTAGAAATCTAACTAAACAATACCGTGAAAGGCCGAACTGAGAACATCAAAATCTGTTTTATCACCGTAGGAAACAGAGAGGAGTTGAAAGGTGGTACTCAGAAATACGTCTGAGTTTCAGCAGGCAATGAAACTGGTTTTGACGTTTTCGACACTGATTTAACAGACTTCGATATCGATTTCTTTAAAATGGGAGAGGGGGTGGGGTTATGCTTTCAGTCTCAATCAAAAAAACGAGATAAGGACAGTTTCGTTTTTTCCTGCCTTTAAATTTTGACTCATGCCGAAAGTTTTGAATGCTCTTTATATTACATAATGAGTTTAAGAGGAAACAAAAACTGCATGTATATGTATATATTTTAGATATTTTGCTTGAATTTGCCTTCACGAAAATTTTGCTTTCAATTTTAAAACATTTTTTTTTAATGTCGTAAAAAGATACGCAATTTTAAATATAGTCGAAATGTTTATAATTTTTTGAATAATAATGGCAAAAAAATTAAGACAAACTAAAATATAAATCATTTTATACTATATAAATTAAAAATACTTAAAACTAAGGCATAATATATTCAATTATATCAAAAACAAAATAAAGCTTTCAAAATTTAAAGCTTTTTCAAAATGTCTAAGAAGATTCATAAACAAATTTTGTATACTTATTAAATGGCACCCCAGAACAAACAAAATTCAAAAAGAATCTATCTTTTTTTTAAAAAACAAAATCATATGTCAGTCCCCGAATACTATTTTTTTCCATAATAAATTTTAGAAAGTATTTACTAACAGCTATTGAATAATTTATTTATGAAAATTTCTTTCGCTCTAAAGAAACTAAATATGCCCTGAAACATTATTCATCATTACAATAACACATATAAATCACAAATGATGTTTCATGTGACACCTTTCTTTAACATTTCTATTAGCAGTTTCACATTACATGAACATGCTTTGATCTGACGATGCTTTGATCGATACTTTGATCTGACGATTTTCTTATTCCGTATCAGATAAATATCTGATAATCAATCATTAAATGCAATAGTAAATAAATAATATAACAGCAATTATACTATAAATTTAATTATATTATTAATATAAAGATTAACTATACAGTTAATAAGCAGATTAATTATATTATGAATAAAGTTTTTAATTATATCAGCAATAAACACTTTAATAATATGATGCCGAAGATTTGAATGATTTTTTTTCCTCCGTGATCAATTTTTTTCTGATTTTTTTTCAAATTTAAAACGAAAAAGCTCAATAAATAAATAAATAATTTAAAAAAAAACTCACTGAAATTTGAAATATAACATTTTGCTTGAATAAGAAAAAAGAAGATTTTGCTTTCAAACTTAATGTAGAAATATTTAAAAATGTAGAAAAAGACATGAAATTTTAAAGTAGGTCAAAAAATTTTTTAAAAATTTATTGAATACTTAAGAAATGCTGAAAGCGAAATATGATATAGTATATTTTAAGAAATGATGTAATTTGTTAAAAAAAATCTCAGTTCAATATGATTTTTAATAATATTTGTTTACTTTTTAATTCGTTTCTGATTACGTAAAATCATACTATATTACCTGCACCATAAAATAAATTATAATAAGGCATATTTTGAAATTCACTGCTTCCGAAATAATGAATAATCATACCTCTTGGTTTACTTTTAAAAGAATAATCCACACTTTCCAACAAAGATGCGGGAGGGAAAAAAAGAATTCTGAAAACTTCCTCTAAAGATTCATCAAGTGGATGTATCGTCTGCGGCTTTTTATTTAAAAAGAATGATGAGAGGAAGATAGTTCTATTCCATTTTTATACCTGTCTTCGATCTTTATTTCTAGGACACTCTCGCTTTCTCTTCCAGAACGAGGGGGATTGGTCAACCTCAGCCGGTTGTCCAACAAAGTTACGCTTTTTTTCTTCCTTTTTTTTTAGAAAGGGGGAAGAGGAGGATTCTTTTTAAAAACAGCTTGTAACAGTCTTGCTTTCTCTTTCGCTTTTCGTGGGTGGAATTGTCGTGCAAAAGATCTAGTTTGTGCTTACTATAAGTAGAATGCATTCTGATATTCTGAAGATTAGATTCTGTTGGAAAGCAGTTTCTGTTTCAGAAAACCAGCGAGGAGTTTTTAAAAAAAAATTATTATTATTTTTATTTATTTATTTAGTTTTCCTATCAAAAGTTAATATACGTGCATAAAAAAACAATATTTCTTGTCCCCAGATTTCTCAGGATAAAGAACATTATCATTATTTTCATTGAATATAATAGAACGGCTATATCATCAAAATGGATAAAATTCGCCCAAAAATAAATAAATAAATAAAATAAAATATGAAATTTTTAAAAAAAATCACTGCCAGAACAAGCATTCGAATAAAATGCAAACCGAATTTGAGATGGTTAAATGCCTTGGAAAAAGATATATTAATACGATGACCAAAAATCTAGAGGCAGAGATAGCCTGCTTGGCTGGGCCCTGGACTGACGACAGTGAGGACGGGAGTTCGAATCCAGCAGGCGAAAAATTCCCCGTGTAGTAAATGGTGATTGGTGCGCGTTAAATCTGCCTGGTCACAAAGTCCTCCATGTTCCCATAACAAATTATACCGTACTGGATCAGAGATTGATCGTTCTCTGGTTCAGGTCAAAATAACGATCTGCGTATGAATGAATGGATGTAGGAATGGGTCAACCCTATAAGTAGGTGTGTGACGTATGTATGTGGGAGATTTCGAATTCTTGGCCATAGATGGTGCTACTAGAAAACAAGAACAATCGCCCCCCACCCCTCTGCCTTAATGGCCTACGACAACAACAACAAAAATCTAGACAACAATTTTAGGTAAAAGGCAAACGAGAAAAAAAACATTTTCATGGGAAGACCAGGGACCACCCCGGGCTGTTGTGTCAACCAAATAGAAGACAATTCCATACACTTAATTATTGTTAAGACGCATTTCCAAAATAGCCCGTTATAGGGCTAAGAAAGTATTATTATTAAAGTATTAAAAGACTTAAAATAAGGTTTTTAGATATTGTATTATTATTTTTAATGGAAATTTTAACTTTCTGTAGAATCCGTTTGGTAGTTTTTAAAAAGAAGCAATTTTATAAGTACTTGTTTTACAGACGATTTTGCGATGAATAAGTTGCTTGGGGCTGATATTACACAAGCAAGATTCTAGCAGTTTTGGACCCCCTCCTCAAAATAAAAGAATAACAAATCCCTTCCCATGTTAACGTAAAAAAAGTCTCAACACTCCCTTCATCTTTTGCTTTAACTTTGACTGTAAAAGATATAATTTTGAAAAAAAAACAACAACAATATTTCATCAAATTTGAAGTATTACTGCGTTCAAAACTCTTGATTTCTGAAACTCTTTGGAGAATATTTTTTAACTTTGCATTTCTCCCGAATTCAATTCTTTTGTTTCAAAATTTTGGTAACATGTATTTACTTTTTTTTTTATCGAAAAAAAAAATCTAAGTTAGGAAGTTTTTGTATGCATTGTTCATACCCTTCTTACCCTCTGGTCAGCAAAAATATGCAAATCATAAAACTACTCTCCCTTTAGATGCTTTTAGATTCGAAACGGAAATTTAATACGGTAGGGTTCATCCTCGAAATGTGTTGAATCATTTGATTGAAATGGGATTGAGAAACAACAAAACTAAATCCATTGCTTGTTGAAGGTTGGAGGTATTCAATTAATCGCCTCTCAACTTCATTATGCTACCTTCGATAATGAAGCAGGCTCGGTCTCGCCTTCATTTGTAGTGATTCGTTAGATTTCGATTTATTATAACTTAAATAGCAATTTTTGATTTTTAAGGCAGATTTTTTTTTTCTTCATTTCCGACGATGATTATAAAATATATATAGTGAGACCTGCCGCTACAGAGCAGCCGGTATACACTTACAGGAATGCAAATATGCCTATTATCCGACAAACATTGAAATTTCCAATTTTTATTCTGTTTTTTTTTTTTAAAAGGTGCCAATGCTGCAAATGCTTCATCAAACTGTAGCCTGGATAAATTTTGCATTCAAACCGATTTTACAAGTTAAGAAAGTTTTGATCTGGACCATTTAAAAGTTTTTTTTTTTGTAACTTTTTAGAACAAAGTTTCCTTACATAGTTGAAGATATTAAAAATTCTGTTTTCGTAAGCAAATCACTTATGTTTTTACATATTCGAAATATTCATAACTGAAAATATTTTTAGATCTGCTTATTTGGAAGCATTAGAAACTAAAAATATTTATATTTTTGCGCATTTAGAAACATTAGAAATTAAAAATATTCATGTTTTTGTACTTAGACGTATTTGGGAACAATTAAAACAAAAAACAATCTTACCTTTGCTCATTTATTACATAAACTTTGCCAACTAATAATATTACATAACTTGCAAACTATATTACATAAACTTAAAAAACTAATACTATTTTTACTCATGTGTCATTGGAACATTAAAATCATTATTAGTTCTGAGTATTGGAAAACATTGGAAACTTAAAAGTTTTATACTTTAGCGTTTTTGGAAATATTCTAAATGAAAAAATATATTCTCTGTAACTTATTTGGAAACATTGGAAGCTAAAAATATTTATTTATTTCCCGTATTTGGAAACATTGGAAATTTAAAATATTTATAGTTTTGCGAATTAGGAAGCATATTTTATATTTCTGAAACCTTCCAAGGTTTCTGAAATATAAAATAAGAAATAAAATAATAATTAAAATAAAAATTAAAACATAAATTTAATATATAAACTAAAATATAAATTAAAGTTAATTAAACTAAAAAATTAAAATATAAATAAAAATTAATTAAACTGAAAATTTGTATGCGTTTGCACTTTAATAAACTTTGAAATTAATAATATTTTTACTCTTGTGTTATTGGAAACATTGAATGTAAAAATATTTGTACTTTTAAGCAATTTGCAACATTGGAACAAAAGAATAAAAATATCTTTGAATAATTGAAAAAATTGTAACTACGAATATTATTACTTTTGAATATTTCAAAACAATGGAAATCAAAACTTTTTATACTTTTGCATATTTGGAGACATTGGAAACTAAAAATTTTTATTCTTTTATTCTTATGGCGTATCTAAAAATGTTTGAAACTAAGAAAACTTGTAATTTGAGTATATAGAAACATAAGACACAAAAACATTTTTTTCCTTTGTGTTTTTGGAAACAATTTAAATTATACTTCTGAATTGAAATTTATACTTTAAGATACATTGGGAAATAAAAAATATTTATTATTTCTTTCGCGTATTTGAAAGTACTGGAAAGGAAAAACATTTATTTTTTGCACAATTGGATACAGTGGAAGTTTAAAATATTTATACGTAGCGTATTTGAGGACATTTGAAACTAAAAATGTTTTATATTTTTACGCACTTGAAAACATTCTAAACAAAAAAGTTTAGCTTTTTTTTACGCATTTGAAAACACTAAAAACAAGAAATAAAAATAATATCGGCAAGATTTGGGTAATAAATAAATATTGTAACATTAATGTCCGTAGTGCATTTTTCTTTCTTTTGTTATTTCGACTTCCATAAGTTCTATTTTGTTCTGTTTATGATAATCGTTTAAAAGAACAATGCTCTTTCACCTAAAGTTATGATTATCAATTTCGGAGCGTGTATCCATCCTTCCTTCCTCTTAAATATGTATCATCATCTTCCGAAGTTTTATTAGGTATCAAGAGAAAATCTCTTTCATTCTAAATAAAGGTTTCATTCTAGGTCATCTCTTTCCCGGATATTTTTGAAGATGAGCAGATGAAATAAAATGATGTTCTTTAATCGAATATTTTCCATTTTTTTTTTTTACATTTATGAAACAGGGTCTTTGTTCATATTTCGCCGCTCTAATCACAAATTCTGTAAAATAAAATTTTTTTATTCCAAATACCATATTTATTGAATAAAAATATGATGTATTTCGGAGCACTTCTGATTGATTTCCTGCCTTTGTTTTCCTCCAATACTGTTAAAATATAGGATGATACAAATATAGGATGATATAAATATATAAATGTGTGTGGTATAATAATATAAATGGGGAAATAAGTTAAAATTAGTTTTCATAATTTGTACCAATTGCGCACTATTCCTGTAAAATGCGTCAGAATAAAAAAAAATGACATGGTGCTTCTAATTTCTACAAAACGTGAAATTAAAAAAAAAAAATGCAAAATAACTTCTTTTTTTTCTTACAACAAACGATTCCAGAAATGACGACAGCTCAAAATCGTTTTTAACTGTTTAATTGAAAAACTTTTGTTTTCGGGACAATTGTCCATCCACTCTTTCGGGATATAAAATAAATAGAATTTTATAACAACACGTATTTTGTGTGCAGCAAAATTTTAAAAATTCTTACAACAATATTTGAAAGCTAATGTACAATAACTAGAAGAAGAAAAAAAGATATCATCCAGAATAACTTATAATCTAATGATTTGATTTTCATTCATTAAGATGCAACGATAATGGTTTAAAGGACGCACTTAAACATTCAAAGGTCAAAATCTGCCCCCCCCCCTTTTCAGTTTTCCGACATAACGACATAAGCGTAACGTGAGGGGGCACACCTTTTGTTTTTAGAAAACTGTTTGTCTATTTCAAGTTTCATAAATATATTTATATATAAATTTATATATAATAATAAATAAAAAATAAATATGCATAGATACATAAAACTTTAAAAAAAAAACGAATCGTTTTCTAAAAACAAAATGCGTGACCCCTTCACTCTACGTCTATGG